ATGTGCACGATTCCATGGCAGGTCCAAATGTATTTTTTGACAGATGCCTCGATTTGCTGTTTTTGGTAGATCTAGATAGAGCTAAAATTAGGGCGTAACAGCTTTTGTAAACAATGACTTATTTCGATGATTTATAGAAAGTTCAACGCAAATCAACATCACCATCGGATAGGGGAAGACTTCCCCTACCCGACGGTTACGTTGGTTTGCGTGAGCGTGCCTTAAGTTCCTAGAAATCATCGAGAGAAGTCATTGTTTACAAAGGCTGTTACGCCCTAATTCCAGCTCTATCTAGAGATGATCAATCAAAGCATTGGAATTCATCGAGGGCATGTTTATAGATTATATTCTTGTGAAATACTAGGTAAGTTTCAGTTCAACATGAATCGAAAGCAGATCGAGAGAATTTCTAAACACAGAGTTTGATCTTTAGTAATTTCTATGTTGTGGTTTTCATGGAAACTTAGCAAATATAGTCATCTGAACTTCTTGGGAACCCTTTGGACTGCCTATCAGAGAAAATGCCCCCCATATTCTACAAGTCAAGCTCTATCAATCAACATTATGATTTAAAAAAAAACAACAACAACAACAACAGAAAGCCCAACATTCAGTCAGAACTCCAGCTAGTAAAGCGCCTGCCCTTCAAAATGTCGTTCTTGTTCTTCTTTTTACATTACGACTGCGATTTTTTTTTCTGCTCAACCGATCCTCGCTTTCCATTTCATTCATTTAGTTTAGCATAACCCCTTCCCTCCCGTTGGGAGCTCCTGCCGTCCTCCATATGCTACCTACACATAATGTATGGCATTGTGCTGCAGATTGATGTGTGTGGTATGTACATAAAGCAATAATAATGCTGGCATAGTCAGACGGTGATTATGCTTTCCATTCTTTGCTGCTGCTACTGCAAAATATTCCTGTGTGAGTGAACCTGTGCAGAATGCAGCAGCATAATTTTCATGGTCAAAGTAATTTAAAATGATGAGCCGTCTATGTACCAACTTCCATCAGTTTGAATCCAAGGCATTTGAGTGATATAGTAACACATAACGCATGATGGATGTGTGATGCTCTCGAGAGCATTGCTTCGACGATAAAATTCGTAAGATTTTCATGACTTCAAATTCAGAAATAAGCCAAACAAAACCGCTGATTTTTCTCCTTAAAGCCATGTTGGACTATTTCACAAGAACCGATCGCCCTGCACTCCTCAAGTTCACGTTCTGGTTTGCCTTCAAGTACATAAGACCTGCATGTGCCAGACCAAGGAGGTCTTCGTAGTGTTGCTACAAACTTCTTCGCTTCCAAACGCCCTCTCTCCCCCGCCCATCATTATCCTCTTCCACTCGATCATTTTCCCTTTATTACCTTATGCACATGCATTTTTCTTATTGTTTCCATCGTTTCCCTATTCCGTCCGTTCCGTTCACCCGTTCTCCCACAACCCAAACCGAGCTCGAACTTGGATGCAGTTTTGCAATTTCTGCTTCTTCTGCTCTTCTTCTTTTTCTTCTTTTTCTTTTTCTTCTTCTTCTTCTTCTTCCCAATCAATTGACCGTCATTCGCTTGAGCGTGGTACTTTTCCTACGCCCAAGCCCGCTGTTCAGAGGAGCATTTCAGGGTTTGCCCTTTCCAACGAATGCAGTTTTCCTTCGTCTGCGCTTGGTCTCCGTCGTCATCGTTGAACCCAGTTTGACTGTTGGGTTTCAGGTTCTGGGGGTTCCATTGTTTTAAAAAACGAAGAAACGACAATTTAAAGCAACGACAGAGCCCTTTTTTCTAAACCTACGTCCATCCGGGCAGGGTAACGAAGGGGTACCACACATACGCCATGCTACCAGTATATCATGTGCAGCACAAAATGTATGACGGGAAGTGGATTCCTGCCCGGAGCACAGAGCGAGCGAGCACACGCTTTGGGAAGTGTTCAATTTTTATTGCCCCATTTTGGCACTCTTTAAATGCTGCTGTGCTCGTCCCGGAGGGAGTGCATTATTTTTTGGCGTGTCTGGTGAAGCGTGAACGGCCCTAAATGAATGGTTGCAGTAAGCGAAAATGTAGTGCTGGTGATTTAGTGGCCGATGAAATATTTCCTAAAGTAATATGACATCGAAGAAGAAATCTAATATAATATAATAAAATATAAATATAAGAAGCCAATATGAGAAAAAAAAGTCATTCAATAAAAAACGAGTTCAAAAGGGAATTTTCTAACAATAGTATCTGCTTTTATAAACAAAGATGCAACGGCTACGCTAACTAACACCACTATAATGTAGGGCAAACTTTACCCTATCGTTAGTTTACGTGGGCAAGCTTACGGTTTCGACAAAATGACGTTTGAATCTTTGATTTAAAAAATTGATACGGCTATTTGAAAATTAACTCTTGACTTCAACAAATCAACTGTACCATGTTCACTTCAAATCAAAATAAGATTATTGAAACCAGATTTACCACATTTACCAGATTGGCTAAATAATTGTCTATTTATTGCATATCAGACACTAAACATTGTTTAAAGCGAATATTGTTTCGTTCCGCAGAGAGCTTCCATGAAAATAAATGTTATAACCTTACTTGCTTACTTACTTTCTTAAGTATCCTGAGTAGTGGTGCAAAGGGTCGACGTGGAAGACTTCCATCATTTGGCGATGCTTGCTTTTGCTTTGGCCTGCACACTTAGAAATAACTAATATTACACGTGACGTGTAATGAGACGTAAACAAACATGTCATGTAATATTAAGTGCGCCGAGACTGAAAAGTTCGTTACCTGACGAAAAGTACGTTTGATTAAGCTATATTTCGTACCTGTTATGACTCAAATTTATGTCAAAATTGACACTCGTATATGTCACGCTCAGAGCACCGAAATGTACATGAATTTTTCTAAGTGTGTGTACCCTGGTAATATTCCTATATACTTGTTCTTCTTGTTGAGGTTCTGCTACCTGTAGCCCCCCGGGTCTGTCTATGCTGCGATGTCCTTCCGGCCAGTGGCAGAGATATTCGATTCCATTGGATAAATATTGTTGATATTCACATAACCTTAACATTCGTTGACGTTTCTCATTTGACATTTTCGCTCCACAGTGCTCAAGCGGTTCCAAATCGGGTCTAGATTAGCCTTCCAAGGTTTGAATTGATTTGGTAAGAAATTGACTGGGCACAAACCATTTGAAATTTATATGGGAATTACTATGGGGAAACCAAACTTTTTCTTCGTAGTCTTCTATTCTTCTTCCATATTGAACCGTTGAAAATTTCTATAGTTGTTCTTATGGACAACTCTTTTTCTCAGCTACAACTTTGCGCAATATTGTTTTTCAGCCAAACATCAAATTAAATAGTTATTAATTGTTTAGGAGATTGATAACCTTATGGCATGATCAAGCAACTGTTTTTTGGGCAACACAGTATTCTGCAGTGTGACATAGTAGCCATGATGTTTTAGCTCTTGTTGAGACAATTTCGGATTCCCTTTGTAGCACGCAAGGTTAGGTTCGTATAGCGAGCTCAAAGCTGTAAGTTTATTCACGTAAAGTTAATTAATCGAGTGACAATAAAGAATTCAATGTACCTACATTTGGTCTCCTAGTCCTTTAATTCAAGAAAAAACAGTCAGGATGACGGTATAAATTCAGCAATATACTATTTCGTACCTTATAAGCTACAAATTCTGAGTGTTCACTCGGCTGTCGTCAAAAGCAGGCCACTCTCGATGTGTGTCACGCGATCGTCTGTTTTCTCGACAGCAACCATTGTGTGGTCCTCCTCATTGTTCTTCATCAGCAGTTCTTTCGGTCGATGCGTCGTCGACTTTGGAAAGCAACCGTTTCGTGATGAGTGTGTGAGTGCTGACCACGTTTTGCGTCCATTGCTGCAATGGACGCGCTCTGACCCTCGTTGGCGTACAACAATTTGCCATACAATGAAACCACTGGAAGCGGCTCCAGTTCTGATGGAGGAGGCTTTTTGGATAGCGGAAGATAAAGTGTTTATTGTGTTGTACCTTTTGACTATAGTTTTAAGATGTATTGTATAGTGACCAAGAATCCTCGGCTCTGTAAAGTTAATTCGGTTGAGCCTTATCAAATAAATTAAAAGCTACAAATTCTAATCTCTGCCTTTTTTGTGATTAACAAAGGATGGTTTTGGATAAATAACTATAGGAAATGGTAATGACAGCTACCCATCAATGGTTGTCAAAAAACTCGCCAAGAAGTGATATTATTCCGATGCGCAGGGTTGGGTGAAGCCGGACGACAGTGGCGTAGTTCGCCCCCAACATTCCCCGACCTGTAATGCTGGTCCAGCGCTTCCGGGGATCAGCGTTACTCCTCAGCTCCGTTGTTGACTGGTATCTGAATATCTAGAACGGCGACCTTCGTCACTGGTCGGCGTAGGATTCCTCCTGATGTCTTCACCTGGACTTGCCTGGCCCGTCCATCGCGTCCCTTCACCACAGAGAGGATCCGTCCTCGCAGCCACCCATTCCGGATAGATTCGTCCACGATAATGACTGCATCGCCTTCCTTCGGTTCCTTCGCGTCCTCGAACCACTTGGTACGCTTGGAGATCGTCGGGAGGTATTCCCGTACCCAGCGACGCCAAAACTGGTTAACCAAGCTCTTCGTTAACTTCCAGTTGGTTCTTAGGCATTCTGGATGTTCTAGGTTAGATTGTGGAGGCTGGGTGACCCCCTTAGAGCTCAGAAGCAGAAAATGGTTTGGTCAAGGCTTCTTGGGCTTCTGACTCGAGCGGGACAAACGTCAAGGGACGTGAATTGACGATACCTTCGGCCTCGATCATCAGTGTGACAAGCGTTTCGTCGTCTGAGTTCCTGCTTGTGTTTAGTGCGGTGAAGGCGATCTTGGCCGATCTAACGAGTCGCTCCCACGATCCTCCCATGTGCGGAGCAGATGGTGGGTTGAAGATCCACTTAGTGACCGCGTTGGTGAAGATCGATGACAGCTGCTGGTTCATTTCCGCTATTTACTGCTGCAGCTCACGGCTAGCTCCGAGGCAGTTAGTACCATTATCGCTCCTTATCTCCAAAGGGGATCCACGCCGAACTAGGAATCGACGAATAGCCATCTTGCATGCCTCCGAGGACAGGGAGTGCACTACCTCCAGATGGACTGCTCGAATTGTAAGGCACGTAAACAATGCCACCCATCGTTTGACTAAGGATCGTCCGACTTTGACCATGATAGGGCCGAAATAGTCAAGACCCATGAGCGTAAATGGTCGGATGAAGGGACTGAGTCTCGCCTCCGGAAGCGGTGCTTCGCGTGGGCATGATGGCTTAGCTTTTGACACTCTGCACGACATACAAGAATTTGCTACATTCCGCACGAGTGCACGTAGACAAGGCACATAGAATCGTTGCCGGACTTCATTGGTGACTGTTTCACGGTTTCCATGAAGGTAGCGTCTGTGGTACCAGTCAACGATCAGGTTGGTTAGGCGGTGTCCTTTCGGAAGGATGATGGGAAATTTGGTATCGTATGGCACAAATATTGCCCCGGCAATTCGTGTGTCCATTCGGATGACTCCGTGTTCGTCGATGAATGGCGATAGTTTGTAGATTCGGCTGGTACGATCAAGCTTTGACCGGTGCCCTTGCTGCGTCTTCTTGAGTTGTACCATCTCTTCAGGAAACGCGGATTGTTGAGTCAGTCGCCAGATAGCATTCTCGGCCCTTGCAAGTTCTTCGCTGCTGAGATGGGAAGTCAATAACTGTTGTTTTGTTCGCTTTCGGTGACTGTTATCCACAAAGCGATAGATGTAAGCAACTGTCTGCCAGAGTCTTTCGTACTTCGAAAATCGGCCCACATCGATAATCTCTTCTTGCTTGTCGTTGATGTGGATATGGCAAGGCCTTATTTCCTCTTCGGTGAGTTCTGCATCTGCTTGTAGAGGCCATTGTTCCTCCGAACTTCTTGGGAACTCCGGTCCTCTGAACCAGCGACCGTCGGGCTTCAAATTTGGTCTGTTTCGCCACTTTGTACCGTCGTCTGCAACGTTGAGCCCCGATGGTACGTATCTCCACTCCTCGGGATTTGATTTCGACAGAATCTCGCCTATTCTACAGGCTACGAACTGTCTATAGCGTCGGTGGTTGGAATTGATCCAAGCGAGGACGGTCTTAGAGTCTGTCCAGAATACCTTTCGCCTAATCGGTAGACTGTGACTGCTGCATAATGTGCAAATTCGTGCTAGTTGGTTGAGCTGGTTGAGCTAGCGAACTAGCATAAGTGTAAACACCCCATTAGGAAGCATTGCATTCCACTCTGTAGGTCAGTGGTGCACATCCAACGGCCTAGTGAGTTTGTGTGGCCCGTATAATGTATGCTCACAGACTAACCAAATAGGGGAAATGTTGGCTTCGGCAATACCTTAACCTATTATCGTCAGGGGGTAACCAAAGTCCTAGAGCACTCAAATTTGACCAATAGTTGCTCTGAAACACAATGTATCCACATGCCAAAATTGAGCTCTCAAGGACGTTGTTTATCCCCCTGACGATAATAGGTTAAGGTATTGCCGAAGCCAACTTTTCCCCTATTTCGAAGATGCTCATGTCTTTTGTTATTTTATGATAGTCAATACGCCCAGAAGAAGCTTTGAATTTTCCTTAGAAATTTCCTGTTGATTGCACGCCGTGCAAACTAAAAATTGCTCAAACGTCCTTTAGCACATGAGGTAGAGTGAAGTAAAATGGAACTATACGAAACGGAACGCAGAATTAAAACAAAACTGCAAATAAGACTACCAGAAACACACTTTTCTGATGCTCATAGGGTTACTAGAAGTTCAAATTAAAAACTAACCCCGTTAATATGCACGAAGTGTCGTTCAAATTAACGGGGGTCCACGGTATTTCATTTCACGCAAAGGAGCAACTTGTAAGCAATGTTGCTTACAAAGATGGGCTTGTCTATACAATATTTTCAGCTTTTCATCATCACATGTAGCAGAACTTCACACGATTTATAATGTAAACTTTTTTTTACCCTCCACTAAACCCCATACCAAGAAGATCGCACAGAGAGCCCCCTGGTAAAGGACACTTACTAAAAAAACAAAGAAAACGCGGAGAAAAAACTAAAATTAAAAAACAATGTAAATCCCAGTGGTTCCTTTAAAAGGATTCACTTACACAACAGAAAATTCTACATCATATAAAGAGTGATAGTGTTTGTTGCACTGTCACTCAATTCGGATTCTTCTTGTTTTTGAAATATTCTGCAATCATCATCATTAGTATACACATACACACAAGCCATCCGAAAATTTAAAGCAAGTATTTCATGATTTTGCATCGTACATTTTCTGGGTAAAACACCATCACTGCATTTACTTACTTGTGTTCTTCTAAGCATACCACAACTTCACGTAATCGAATACACAAAATTAATAAAAACGGGAGGCCAAATCTCTTGGTGAACAAAATAAAACACCAAGAAAATCACTTCGACTCCACTTCTTTGCTAGCGAACGTAAAAGAATCATTGAACATGCGTTACCAGATGTACTACCTCTAGCAGCGAATATCAGTTTTTTTTTTTTAAACATGCAAATACGAAGTTTAAACCAATAACTTAGACGTGTGAATGTTTTTAATGGTGAATAAATATCAAAAACGAAAAGGTCCTTTTTTGGAACTTAAACGTTCCAATTACAGAGGTAAAAAAAAATTGGATTAAACACAAACAGGGGAGATGGCAGCATTGCATGTAGCCTGTTATTGGCTTCCTCGCTCAGGGGTGTATACAAAATGTCATACAGCGTGTGCTGGCAGTGTGAATGTTTTGTCTACGACATTCTATACACGTGCATGTGTAACGTCACGTTTGCTGTTGTATTGAAAAGTAAAAGAATAAAAGAGATAGTCGATTTTGCTCACCATACCAGTTGACATTTATGATGCATTGACTGTTTTGGCACGGCGACGCACGCTACTAACGAATTTTACCAATGTTTATAGAAAGTGATTATTAATGAATATAAGACATGCCTCTTAACATACAACATTGAACTTAATAAACTATACTATAATTAATAATGCAGGAAAAAACTAGCAGGAGTCAGAAAAATCTACATATGCAAATGGTTGACACTTGTAGAGAATATATTCATTTACGGTCTTTATTATATACTGCTTCAGCTTGCTTTTAAGGGGGTAGTACACTTTGAACGTCCAAAAAGTAAGGCCTTTCGTTAATTTTTTTAAGCAATAAAACACTCAGGGAGGGCAAATATGTTATAACCCATTTATTAGTCATCCTTCGAACTACAATTTGTATTTTTTTTTTAACTTGATTGGCGTCTCCCCGTGGACGGTGCACCAGGTCGCGCGGGCGTCCTCGCGCTGAAGTCGGAAAACGGCATGGGAAAATACTACTTTCCATGTGATCCTGGAACATAAATCGAACAAAAATCCTGATAAGTAATGAAATTTGGGTTAGAAATACGTATTCACGTAATACGTGAACAGAAATTAACACTACTTTTTCGAACTGTGTAGGAACACGCCTTACTATTTAATCATTTCAATGAACCTCTATTTAAAAGTATCCTTGGAATGTTTTCAGAATCGTGATTCGCAAGAAACTATCCCCTGAATGAGAATTCTCCATAGAATTCCTTCACTGAAAACGAATCTTGCTCAGAGAGTGAGTAATTTTTACTCATTCGTATGGATGAATTTCTAAAAGCGTAGGTTAGGCGCGGTACACAAATTAAGTACCGCAGAAAAAACCGTATTTTAGACCCCCTCCTCTCTTCCTATGTAACATTAAGTAACGCAAGCTAATCTCCACCTCCCCCCCCCCCCCTCCACTCCTCTTTTCATAAGTTACGGAAGTTGTGCACGAAGCCTTACTCATGCTCTGAATGACCTACGCTTTTAGAAATTTCTCCATACATGAGTAAAAGTTACACAAAACTGAGTAAAAGCGACTCACTCTCTGAGCTAGTTTCGTTTTCAGTGTTCGAAATTATTATCAGTGTTTGAAATTTTTATCAGAATTCTTCTGGAACTCTTTTCAGGATGCCGTTGGATTTGTTGTTTGGATTTCCTTGGAATTCTCATCAGAACTTTTCACTTTTCCAATTTCAGAATTATTTTCAGAATTCTAAATTTCTCATAACTTCTCTCGATTGTCTTTATAATGGTACAAATTTTCCAAAAATTCCATAATGCATAACACAGCAAAAATGGCTATCTTCCATTCAATTCCACTCAACTAATTTTGGTATCCATGACAGATACGTATTACGACTACAATGTTAATCCTTCATCAGTGTCGATCCCACTAAAGACTTATCAAAATCTTTTCCCCTTAAGTACTCATCACTTAGGTAAAAATGTCAAGATCACAGGTATAAAAAAAGAAGTAACTAAGTGTAGAATCGGAACCTACAAAAACCAAAGATTTAGGTAAATTAAAGGAGAAAATCTATACAACTCTCTAATAAGGGAAATCCCGAAAGGCTTGGTAGCCATCATAATAAAGTAATAAAGGGTGTCCACGATGAAATTGCCACACACAAAATTGATTCGCAAAATTCGAGTTTTCATCCGATTGCCAGCAAATTTTCAGGGATTGCGAAATAACTATTAAACTTCATTTTACCATTTTACTCGTATTTTATTTACAGTCCATACGCAAATGCCCGCACCTTGGCCTTAACCCCGGCCATAAGATTCTGCACAACCTGTGAATCAACCGTTTTTTGCATGTAAACCCATACTTTCTTCAGTTCCTCGACTGTCTTCACTACCTTAAGTCGTTTAAGAAGGTGCTGCTTCATAATCGCCCAGTACTTCTCGATGGGGCGGAGCTCCGGAGTGTTGGGAGGGTTGAACATTTTCGGCACGAAATTGACCTTATTGTCCGCATACCACTTCAGCACGTCCTTGGAGTAGTGGCATGACGCCAAATCCGGCCAGAAGATTGTTGGGACGTTGTGGGCCTTCAGGAGAGGAAGCAGCTGCTTCTGGAGGCACTCTTTTATGTACACCTGTCCGTTCATCGTGTCCTAGGTCACGAAAGGTGCACTCCGCTTCCCGCACGTGCAGATGGCTTGCCAAACCAGGAATTTCTTCGCAAATTTGGACATCTTCTGAGTGCGGACATGCTCCGGAACGCTGAACTTATCCTTGGCCGTGAAAAACAGGTTGCCGGGGATCTGTTTGAAGTCGGCCTTCATGTTTCGTCGTCCATGATGCAGCATTCAACTTTCGTCAGCATGTTGAGGTACAACTTCCTGGCACGGGTTTTGGCGGACTTGTTCTGCTTCTCGTCGAGATTAGGGGCCTTTTGTACCTTGAACGTTCGAAGCCCAGCCTTAGTTTTGGCCTTCTGGACAAAACTTCGGCTTAGGTGCAGCTTCTTAGCCACATCCCTAACGGAGGCGTTCGGATTTCGGTTGAAGGCCCCAACTACGCGGTTGTGATTTTTGGTGTTGTACGGAATACTTTTTCCTTCACTTCTGGGCTTCCGATCGGTGGTCAACCGTTCCTCGAACCGCTTAATCACTCGCGACACCGTGGAATTCGCGATTCCCAACGTTTTAGCGATGGAACGATGCGAGAGATCCTTGTTCTCGTGATGAATGCGCAAGATTTTATCACGCACGAGCTGTTCTTTCGACTCCATTTCCGCGAGTTTTGATCACAGGACTTTAAAACTTGCAGGATGTAAATAATGCACTATGAACTAAATCCACCCAATTTTTCATTAAATTCTACCCAACGGTTAAAAAGTTAGAGCAATTTCATAGTGTGGCAATTTCATCGTGGACACCCTTTAACATTGGGTTGTTAGCGGAATGCTTACATAAAACAGCAAAAAATTATATCTTCCATTTGATTCCACTTAATTAATTTAGGTATCCATGACAGATACGTATTTGGACTACAATGTGCAGTCTTAATCAGTAGCAATACATCACTTACCCAATTTCATTACTTTATCCATTATGCATATTCTTAAATTCAGTTGAATTCTCTTCATAACTCCCATGACACCACCCTCAGATGGCCGGGTAAAGCAGGTGAATAAGAACGCCTATCAATGGTTGTTGGGTTCTGCCCTGACCGGCGATTTGCGACCTCTGTGCACCTGAACTCCGATTCTTACCTCCACGCGGTGCCCGGTGGGGTTGCTGGCGGTGATATTTGCCGTC